ATGATGGAGACATAGATTTAGATCATGGCAGTGAAGATGGAGAGGCAGAATTAAGAAATACTTGTAGATTTAAGAGAATTTAAATGATGGTTAGATATACTGAAAAGAGATTGAATCGTTCAATTGTTTTCATTTGTTCCAAAGTCTTACTAAGAATATATTATTCTTTTCCTTATTCCCTGCTTATTCTCTTACTATGACATTCACTTAACTTTGAATATCTCTTACTTCACCACCACCAGCAGCAGCATCACGCACTACCACCACCACAGCAATCAGCAAGAATTTATGGAGCACATATTACTGAATTATACTTTTTCCAATCTTGTAACACATTTACATCCCTCTATTTTATGCCCGTATTTCTATTAGTAGCCTCTGTTTGATTTAGTCTTGTATTTTGAATGGTATTGTGTTTTCTTGGTGTATAATTTCTTTCTTCTTCTTCTTCTTTTTTATTTTTTTGAAAGATTTTACTTATTTATTTGACACAGAGAGAGAGCACATACATGCACAAGCAGGGGGAGTGGCAAGCAGAAGGAGAGGAGGAAGCACACTCCCTGCTGAGCAGAGACCTCTCCCCCTCACCCCACCACCCCTCACAACAGGGTGCTTGATCCCAAGACCCTGGTATCATGAACTCAGCCAAAGGCAGCCACTTAACTGACTGAGCCACCCAGGTACCCCTGTTGGTGTGTAATTTCTTCTGGCCTTCCTGTGCCATAGTATTCCAATGCCTAAATTCTCATGTTTTCTGTTTTCATCTGCTATTTAAAAAATTATTTTCTCAAGGTAATGATGCACAAATATTTCTTGTCCATTTTCAGAACATTTGAAAGGATTCAACATTTAAGTTGTAAGTTAAATCAATAAACTGACAAAAACTATAACCAGCAATTACTATCATTAAGAAATCAAGTAAAGACTACTGTTCATTTACTAAGGCTCTGGTGTATGTGTTTCCAAGAAAAGTACATTATACTTTGCTCAAAGAATTCATAAGATGAAAAATTTTCTACTGTCCTCATAGGTGCAAATTATGTTTATTTTATTTCACAGGCTATACATTTTCAGCAATACCTTCATTTACCTCTAGATATAGAGTTAAAATTCAGCTCCTATACCAAGGTAAGAAGAAATGACATCACTAACTAAAAGACAAGTTATTTTATGTGCAGGCTTATATTTATCTCATGTATTCTTTTTCTAAATATAATCATCACATACCCCAAAAATATTTATAGTTGTTTTCTTCAAGAAGTATAATAAAAGACTCCCTTGTGCCACTCAAGTTTAAATGCTAGACAAAATGGCATAACACAGACTCTTAACTATAGAGAATGAACTGGTAGCTGCCTGAGTGGAGGTGGGAGGGTGAGTGAAACAGCTGACACTTATCATGATGAGCACCGAGTGACGTATAGAATTATTGAATCACTATACTGTACACCCCACAATAATATAAGACTGTGTGTTAACTATACTGGAATTAATTTTTTAATGGCTTATTATCAAAGAGGAAGAGTAAACAGAGAAACAATTGTCCACTCTCACCCACAGTGTACATACCTAGTTGTCATAATCATAACTCCCATAGATCACAGTCTGGCCACTTAGCCTCTCCATCAAGGTTTTATTGAGTAATTTCTATGAGTTTAGTACTGTTCTAAGCTCTGTAGGTAAAGAGATACATAAAACATGGGTCCTGGGGCATCTGGGTGGCTCAGTGGGTTAAGCCTCTGCCTTCAGCTCAGGTCATGATCTCAGAGTCCTGGGATTGAGTCCCGCATCAGGCTCTCTGCTCAGCGTGGAGCCTGCTTCCCCCTCTCTCTCTGCCTACTTGTGATCTATCTCTCTCTGTAAAAAAAAAAAAAAAAAAACATGGGTCCTGCCCACAAGGAGCTTACAATATGGCTGAGAATTTTGTTAAAACAATGTATAAAATCTCTTAAAAACACATTTTGTACAAATTATTTTTATATAAAAAAGCACTTCAGATAATAAAAAAATAAAGTCCTAGAACCTGAATGAAATGGAGAAACACTTTTATCCATAGGATGAGCCTAGAGATATTTTGAATTAACAATTAACAAAATATTCAGTAAAAGCCTGGATTAATGAAAAAATATGAGCACAAATATTTTGAAGACAGCAATTAAACATTGAAGTATTCTTAATCATTAAAAGTATGTCAAGCAAGATATGTCTTATACAGATCCTTAAGGTACCTGAATAATTATCTTAACAATAGGTTTCTTTTGAGTGGGCTTCCAACTAGTGAAGATACTGAAAAAAAAATTGTTCTCTTAACTAGTTTATATGTTCCTTTATAGCCTGGGTTGTATTATTTGTTTAAGTTTTTGAAGTCATTCATATAGACAGTAAAAACAGAATATTCGACTTTGTCTGAATTTTCATAGATTTCATAGACCAAAGTCTACATATAGATGTAAGACACACATCCACATATACATATCAAACATAAAGACTCTTATTTTCTCCCCCCTCCTTGGGAGAATTTGGATAATATAGCTTCTGATGGAAGCCTAATCTTCTAAACCTTATATTCTCTGTTATGCCATTCCCTAATATGCCACTCCTTTTCACGGTACCCTGGCCCAACCTCTCCTGAGAGCAGCATAGTTGGGTGTTTATTTTTGTTTGTTTGTCTGTTTCACACTGGCTTGCGCTGGTGCTGTATGAAATCTGCAAGAGGATGGAGGTAGGAATAGGTGGGAATTTGTTCTTCCAACACAGAAGTCGCAGGTCTAAAATTACACAGAATATATCATATGCAGTCAGGAACCAGGTCTATACAACTCAGCTGCAAAGCATATTAATACCACAGATCTGTTTTGCATATGTATTCCACAGAGCTCTACAGTAGGCACTATAATTACAATAAAACTGTAGATCAAGCCCCGTTTCTCCACATGTAACTCTTTATGGCAGAAATTCGTTTTATTTTGAGGGCTATTTCTATTCTCAGTGTAAGCTCATTACATAATTATGAAAATCCATGTATATGGATGGTAATTTTAAAAATGAAGAGGAAAGCCTTGTTAAGAATCAGTGTATTGCTGGGGGCACCTGGGTGGCTCAGTGGGTTAAGCCGCTGCTTTGAGCTCAGGTCATGATCTCAGATCCCTGGGATCGAGTCCCGCATCGGGCTCTCTTCTCAGCGGGGAGCCTGCTTCTCTCTCTCTCTCTCTCTCTCTCTCTGCCTGCCTCTCCATCTACTTGATCTCTCTCTGTCAGATAAAAAAATAAAAAAGAGTAGCTTTAAAAAAAAAAAAAGAATCAGTGTATTGCTGAATCATGATCTAGAATACTTGAGAACATATGTTACAGAACTTATTATTTTGGGTGAATTTAGTATGAAATGGATACATTTCTGTGGGTTAAAAATGAAAATATCAGAAGTATTTTATATTGACATATACCATCTTTCCATCAGATTTCAAACTAATTGGACAAAGATCATTCTTAATTGTGTAAGAAATATCTTTACCAAAGAGTCATTATTTTTCAAACCTTTCTAGTCATTTTATTACCTTATGACTTTCACCTAGATAGCTTTAATAAACTTTATTATATTAAACTGCAAGTGACTATTCTACCTGGATTAGCATTTTTATTTATTTATTTATTTTTTAAAGATTTTATTTATTTATTTGACAGAGATCACAAGTAGGCAGAGAGGCAGGCAGAGAGAGAGGGGGAAGCAGGCTCCCCGCTGAGCAGAGAGCCTGATGCGATGCGTGGCTTGATCCCAGGACCCCGGGATCATGACCTGAGCCAAAGGCAGAGGCCCAACCCACTGAGCCACCCAGGCGCCCCTGGATTAGCATTTTTAAATCAGGGAAGTTTAACATAAAATTTCCCAAGTTGAATAGCAACATAGAAATGGAAGACTTTCTATCACATTCATTTAAATTGGCAACTGCTAATATTGTACATAAATTTTACCTTTGGTGAGAATTTACCAAATAAGGAGCATCTTTCTTGGGGTCAAATACTGCACCAGTGCTAAGAGACTTATGAAGAAAATATAAGAAAAGGGTTCTGCCCACCAAGAAATAGAATTTTTGTTAAGGGGAAAAAATATGTAATGAAAATATTTGAAGAATAATACAATAATCATCAAAATGAGCACTATGTAACTTCAGAGTTGGATAAAGGTAAGGAGAGAAAAAAAGATCCTTTAATTGTTCAAGACCCAAAGACAAGATGAAAGTTGCACATGTGGGAGATGGGTAGGTTTTGCATGGGAAAAAGTAATCATGAAATATTATAAACAAGAATAGCATCAAGAGATTTGAAGGTGATTCTGTCCATGACATGTAAACCTATACAATCAGGAAGCCAGATTATAGTTGAAATTGAGAACTCGTATTATATAGCTGGAGATAAGTCTAGATAAAGAATTAATTGCAATTAGTACTTATTGAGCGTTTACTGTGTTAGACTAACTTTACATGCATTATTGCAATAACCCCACAAGTAAGTATTATTATCTTTAATTTATTGATTAATTCATTGAGATTTGATGAAATTAATCAGATTTCTCAAGGTCAAGGAGCTAGTAAGTGGACAGCCAGATTTAAATCCAGGTTTCATTCCAAAACCCATGCTTTTATTACTATATCACATCATCTTATAAATGAAATATCATTGAGGCAGATCTCACATCCCCACTGTAGTATAGGAAGAACAATAAACCTGGAATCAAAGAACTGACAATGGATCTGAATTCTTATATTAGCCATGTGACATTGGGCAAGTCCTCTGTAGACTTGGGCTTCTTTTGTAAAAATAAAATAATAAATATATGACAACTAGACAACCACATAGATGGATGATAGACAAATAGTGGTAACAGAAGTATGGACATTCTTATGATTATTGGCAAATTCTGGTTGCTCAAAAAGTTCATTGAATTTAAACCTGAATAAAGGGATTGTATACATCATCTTTGTGTGAGTTACATAAAGCCATTTAAAATACAAGTTCGAATGAATATAATTTTCCAGCTAATCCACAACTGATTCAACTACTTAAAGGAATGACTCACTGTTTTGGTTTAATCTAGTTGACAGAGATGACAGTGGAATCACAGTATGGGCTTCTATGGCAAAACTACTGGTACCATATTATCATGTCTTCCTAAGATGTCCTTGTAGGTCACAGCATGGCCCTTAGCACAGTGCCTAAAGAAGGACACTCAATAAATACGTGTTGCATTAAGTGAATGATAAGAGGAAAAGGAAGGAGGAAGGTGCGGAGGTGGGAAGAAAGGCAAGAGAAAGAAAGATTGGTTGAATTTACAAACAGCTAAGGACATTAGCTGAAAGACATCCAATGACTCAAAAGTATTTGTTAAAAGTTCATAGAATTTCTCATTTCAATTCAGATGACATAGTTTCCTTTATATAAAATGTAACAAAATTTGCTATTGAATAACTATGTCACTTATTAGTTTTGCCTTTTTGTGTGACACCTGGGAAGAAATTTTAAGAAATCCTGAACAGATAGTGATAAATCAGAAGGCTGTGCCTGGATTTTTTTTACTGCTCTAACACAATAGTTAATCATGTAGCCTCAGTATTGTTTCCTGTGACATTTCAGGAAAGCTCTTAGCTGCATCCACTCTTTTCAGTCTTCAAAGACACATAAACCTTATGTTGATTGCCAGTAGACTGCGACACATAACCAGAACACAGACCTAGAGATGCTTAGTTCCAAGCTTAGCCCAGAGGGACACAGTATCTCCAATACATTCATCACACATTTGGCATAAATATCATTTATCATGGCACCCTCCTGCCTCCATTTGGGAACCCTTTTCTATCTCATTTAAGTTTATGTCCTATTCATTGAATTCTTGATTTCAAAATGTTGACTTTTCATTGTTGAAAGCTTATATTGATTTTTTTTCAAACTCGTTATAAGATCAAGACTACCATAAAATGTAAAGATGTCCGCACTGGTTGAGATTCAGGCAAAGGTTTGAAGTCGGAGGAAAACTCTCGGAAAACGGGTTTTTCTTTTTCACACTTTTCACCAATCATTATCTGTGAAATCATGCCTAACTTCTTAAATATGTACTCAAAACCCAGTCCCAGAAACCAATTTGACACTCAGAGACACAAAGCATGATAATAAACCTGGTTTCAGTGGGTATTACTGACAAGAAGAAATACTAAATTTTTTTAAAAGATGAAAATGAAGAAATAATCCAAATCAAACATAAATTCTCCTTCTCAGGTGGGAAGAAATACATAAACTCAGGCAAGCAGGAATTTCAATAAAAATTCAGCTCCGTTCTTTCATCTGTTAGAATAGAGAGAGAAAGACGTAATAAGCATGAGAAGGTGTACTTTCTCTGTGTGGTGTGAGAAGGTCTTGAGAAATACATATGTCTTAGACATTGAAACATTCTTGTTTGAAATAATTACACATATGTTTTGTAAATAAAAGCAATTTAAATAACTGGAATTTTGGATCACTTAAGCTTTAGGTTATTTAATTACGCTTTTTTTTATGAGTAATTTTTCTGGTTTCCAAGTTTGTAATCCAGTAGAATAATCAAATCATGGCACTGAATCAATTGTAGACACATTGAATGGTCAGATAAACTTGCCATAAAAACAAGCCCCAATCAGTGTATAACTATACCCCAGAAAGATAAAAGAAAGAAAGCAAATTTTAATAACTATGAAATACAATTTTTCTCCCATCAAACCAATGAAGTGTGTGTGTGTGTGTGTGTGTGTGTGTGTTTTAAAATAATATGCAGTGTTGGTTAGGATGAAGCAAAGCAGAAATTCTCCAACATTGTTGATGAAATTTTAGATCTCTATAGTTTCCTGGAAAGCAGTCATACTATAAGCATCTTTCAATATTAAAAATTTATATATTATTTATTTCTTAAAGTAAATGTATGATAAAAAAATCAGAAATATTTTTAATTGCATTTCAGTCTTTAGGTAATAATATATTTCCAATTATTGTGGTGCCAAATTTGAACACAGATTATGATTAGCAAACTACAATGTATCCTTTTAAAAGACTTATATAAATACCAAAATTACTTTTTAAATAATTTGTAGGTAGTCTGGGGAATGTTTATTTTACATTAAATTAGATAAAACCAAGATATAATAATGCACATATAACGTTATCCTAAGTATGTAAAGAAAAATCAAGTGAAGTGCAGGGGAAAAAGATGAGAAAGAAATTTACTAAAAGAATGGTGAGTTTTTCTTGAATAGTGGAAGTAAAGTTTAGGAAGCTGCTTTTCTTTCTAATTTTCTTTATTTGGCAAAATTTCTATAGAGAGCTGGCTTATTTTCATAATGAAGGGAAAGGACAATAGAATTTACTTAAAAAATTAAAAATGGGATTAGAGTGAGATTACCAATAAAGAAATGTGAATTGCATATCTCCCTTCTTTTCCCTTCATTTGTTTTCCAAGGAAATCTGTGTTTATAGCAAAAAAAGAAAAGAAAAAGTGCCCAGAATGGGTGTATTACATGCAGATATTTAAGGGAAAGATGTGGGACTATAAAGGTGAGTTGAGTAAAAATTTTATTGTCCCCATGACTTTTAAGCTACATTCCAGAATCAGCCAGCTTATTGGTATCCTGTAGGCATTGTTTCACAGTGTATCTCTATTGAAAAACACATTTTGATCTTCCCCTGAGGAACAGAAGTGATTATCTTTCAGGTATTTCAGTCATGGGAGAACAAATGGGCAAGGACATTGAGCTGCTTACACGTCCACATCCATCTTCACAACTTACACAGAGTAGTGGAGTCATTGTGCCCAGCCTCACCCAGGGAATGAAGTAAAATGAACATGCTGACTGTCCATTACAATGGACAGTTCAACTTATTTGAGAAGCCAAGTGTGTCATGTTTGAAAAAATAAAATTAAAACTTTTCACCTTCTTTCATTAAAACAAAAAAGGTCATACAATGGAGTAATAGCCACATGACCATTTAACCCTACAATCAATAACAGAAATATTGAAATGAAGTGTTTGAGGGGGGAAACTAAGGTTTGGAATTTAATACGACCAACTATGCATCGTATTTGGCATCACGATCTGCTTTCTAGAGTGTTCTTTCATTAAAGTACACGTTTTATTCCAAGCATATCTAGGCAAAGGGCAAACAAGGGTGTGCTGACCATGTGAGGAGTACACTGAGTTCTGACGTCAAATTAAAACAGGGTAGCTTTGCCTTAAAATGCTCCCGGACACGGTTCTTCGTGTGAAAATTCAGTGACATGCAGGCTCTTTTACTACAGGAGACTTGACTGGTCACAAAATCAGCCAGGAGCCAGTCTGCGAATCTTAGTTGGAGGAAATCCAAGTGAAGTTGTAAAGACAAGAACAACTCCTTAAAGGAATCTGGTCCTGCTTAATTGGGTGTGTGTGCCTAATCTGCACTTTAGTTCTTAGAGATATTCTGTCCTTGTCTCATGAAGGCAGATCAGAACAGAGATGGGGGAAGGCTATGCTGTAAATCTAGACAGCTTCTAAATCTCACCTTTCCAACTGGTCACTCCACATCAAGGTTGAGGAGCACTGGTGGGGTAAGGAGGTGGAACTGGATGCATAGTTGTTTGTGTGGTGTCTGATCTGTGAACAGACAGAGGGTTTCAGTGGACAGAATTATTCATGATGACTCCTTTTGTCAGAAGACTCTTCCTTCAAAATTCTTTAAAAAAAAAAAGCAGAACCAAAACTCTATATACCAACTTGTATTGGCCATAACCAAATGAAGATATTTTAGATCTTATCTTCCCAAGACTATCTCATTTCTGCCTCAAAGTTTTGACACACCCTCAATTTCCTCTTACAATTTCACACCAGATTATTACTTAAGGTAGAGACCATTCCCGATATGACTTCTAAGTACATAGAGCAGTTATCACAGCACTTGTTAAATACTGAATAAAAACTCACTGGTCGAATGATTAGTGTAGGTAAATCCAATTCTACCACTCTCTAGCTTTCAGTGACTTTCTGTTGCTCTTAGGATGAAGACCAGAATTCTTAACATGACCTCCTAGGTCCTATTTGATATAGCCTCTGCTGCAACTCTAGCTTTGTTTGCTTGGGCCACGTTAGCCCTCTATGAATAGCATGAACAATGTCATCCTTTTTCCTACCACAGGGCCTTTGCACTTGAAGCTTCCTCTGCTAAGAGTGCCCTTCCAGTTCCCTCATCACCTGGCTGACTCCTACTTGTCCTTTCAATCTCAACTTGGAATATCACTTCTTCAGAGACTATCCTGTTGAGTAGGACAGGTCCCCCACTATGTGATACCCATTATTTTCTTTTCAGAAGCTCATTGTAGTTTGTAAACAAAGGGTTTTTTTGTTTGTTTTGTTTGTTTTTTTAGTATTTTTTGTTATACTAATATACTAAATTTATTCTTACACTAAATACTAAACATTATTTGTTTAGTATTTGTTGTTATCACTAGACTACAAGTTTCTTGAGCGCAGGGACCATGCCTAGTTTTGCCCACCACTGTGTCTCCAACAACTACCACAGTGTCTGGTGGATAGACAGTCAGTATTTGTGGTATGAATAAACACGTCTGTGTAATTGGCTGAGGCCCATGCTTGAACAATATTCTCCAAATAGTAGCTTAAGTTCATTGGATTCTATAAAAAATATTAAGAAAAATATTTCCTCTGTATACATTTCTCACTAATTCTCTTACAAGAAGTAGCAGAATGAAATTAAATTCTCACAAAGAATTGTTACAAGAAAAAGCAGAAAGAAATGAAATTCAATGTTTCTTTGGTCTTTTTTATTGGATTCCTAGAGTGTTTTCTTTGTCAAAACTTTAGTTAAGATCATTTTAAACAGTATGTCCATGCCCATTTCAAGTGGCATTAATGATATAAGCTATCCAGACAGACATGTAGTTCTCCAAGTCCTGACTGTGTTAAGCAAATAGATAATTTCTGTTTTAGGAAAGCAGTGTTATTTGAAGGACAATGAAATGACATGTCTTCTTGACAACACAGATTACATTTTGACCAATATCTATTTCAGCACAAACAGAAGAAGTTCAGTGGCACTTTAAATAGAAATATTGAGCACTACATCTAAAACTAATAACATATATGTTGGCTAATTGAATTTAAATTAAAAAAAAAAAAGAAATATTGTGGCTCTGGGTGAGTGCTCAGAGTTGAGGTCAGAGTAGGAAAACAACCCCCACAGGATTTTCTGTTTATTCTCAGAGACTTTCAGAATCCCCTGTATGTCCCTGTTAAAGAACAATCTGGTTAGATTGGTCCTAGAGGACCACTAGGCTTTTCTCTTCCCGATATTAACAGGCCTGCTTTAATGAAGTACTTGGGGTTGCATTATTTGTTGGCTTGACTTTAGGAGCAGACACAACTGTAGGAATCTGGGTATCATATGTCTCCCCAATGTCAGGGAGCAGAAAAAGAAAAAAACTGAGGGGGGTGCCTGGCCGGTTCAGTTGGTGGAGCATGTGACTCTGGATCTCAGGGTTGTCAATTTGAGCCTAACCCTAGGTGTAGAAATTACTTAAAAAGAAAATCTTTAAAAAGAAGCAACTGAAGACATGAGGCATTGCAAGGTAACATGGGATAGAGCCGAGAGTGGGAAGCATGGTACAGTTCCCTACCACACTCTCTAAACCACCCCTCCAGTGGACCCTATTTCCCTGGCAAATATTCCATGATTCACTCCATCATTCTCAGAAAACTCTACTTTACTGTCTCACCCAATATTCTACAGCTAACTCTGGCCCCGCAGCCAGTGGATTGTTCATTTCATGCTAATTTTCTCTCCTCTGGGTCTCTTTTATTTTAGTCCTCCCCTCTAGTCTTTGTGCCATTGTTCAGATTCTCCTGTTCTTCCTGGCTTGCTGATCAGTTTGAACTTCACATTTTTGTCAGGTCAAAAATGGTTGAATATTGGAAATTCTTTATGATTAACGTAGGAACAATCTTTTAACTAATTCATGTTCTGACCCAAGTCTTTCTCAAACTCTTGAACACATCCTTCATATTCCTTTTTTTTTTTTTTCTTTTTGAGAAAGAGAGAAAGAGCACGCAAGCAGGGGAAAAGGCAGAGGCAGAGGGAGAGGGAGAGGGAGAATTTTAAGCAGACCGCACACTGAGTCCGACACAGGACTTGTCTCACAACCCTGAGATCGTGACCTGAGCCAAAAGCAAGAGTACCACACTTAACCAACTGAGTCACCCAGGCGCCCCTTGTACTATTTCTAAGGCAAACCTCATATCTTTGAATGTTCCCCAATGCTACAGGATAAAGTTCTGGAGTACTAAAGACCCACTGCTGAGTGGGTATCCTGTATCTTGAGGTTAATCTCTAATCTCCTGCCTCTCTCCTTTATGGGAGCCTTGCTTTAGTTCCTAAACTATACAATCAGAGCCCTGCCAATGCTTTTTCACACCTGATCACTGCGGAGTTTGCTCTTGTCTTTCTAAAATGCCTCTCTCTACTTCTGTCCAGAATTCATCCTGTTTATCCTCCAAGACCCAGCCTTTCATTTTCTTGGAAAAGTATTATTTCTTTTATTGTATTCCTGTAGCTTTGTACACATTATTCAAATTATACGTAGTCTGTCAGTTGACAAACTCTAATTTGCAGTAGAAGCCCAATAAATGTTGGTGAATAAATTGATTTCTAAGTAAATGACTGGCTCTTCTCAACGGTCAATATTATGAGACAAGGACTGATCAAATTTTTCAGCACCCACAAGAACCTACTATATGTATGTCACTTTTTCAGGTGTAATAATACGTTCATATATTAAAAGTTTCCCTTGGCTTAGAAATAGGTAGTTTCTATATCCTCCACATTTCCCTTGAGAGTATCTATTGGTACATCTTATCTAACTATGTATTGCTTTTCTTTCCAGGACTGAGAAGAAAGGACTCAGGCACTCAGTGCACATTTTTGAATGAGTGAATGAATGAAGGAATGAATGAATAAGTGAGGGCTGTCTTAGACTGAGTACTCCCAGAAGCAGAACCTAAGGTAAGGGTTTGTATGCAAGTGACTTATTAAGAATGAGCTCCAAAAAAAAAAAAAAAAGAGTCAAGAAGTGGGAAAGTAGGACACTGGAGGAGAAGCCAAGCAGGAGTGAAATTTTAAGTGATTCTAGCTTCAGTCTGAACCTTGGGGAAACTCTGGAGTATAAATTACATGTCAAAATTTGTTTCGCTTACAAACAAGGGGTGTGGGTTTCTCTACTCCCACATTCATCAGTCACTGCTGCTTTGGAACAAAACTCCTAGGCCCTTCTGGCTCTGTCCTTGTGTGAGCCTCTGAAGGTCACAGTGAGAGCAGTTAGCAGCAAAGTAAGCAGAAGCAGGGAATGGGTACACAGAACTGCTATATTGTATCTGAGAAGTTCTGGGTAGGACTCCGGTTTTGTGGGATACATTACCTGCCATATATTTAGTAAGCCAAGTTTAGCTGGTGGTAGTGGAGGAGGCTGCTGTGTGCCTGGATTGGAGAACTCCGGGAAGGGAGTCCTGTTGAAAATAATCTTCTCCACTCCTACTCCTGATGCCTAGGATCCCTTTAGCTAGGGCCAAAACTTTTTAATCTATATTGAGAAGTGGTATTTTAAAAAAGAATTACCTTGGGTGGAAGAGAGAAAGGGACAAAATCCTATGTAGAGCCGACTATACGTCAGGCAGTGCCAAACTTTTTTAAATGCTTTACCGTTTTAATACACTGGTTTTCATCCACACTCAAGTATGCATCTTCCTGAGAGTGTAAGATGTACAGGCCTTGAGGAGCCTCTCTCAAGCCTTTTGCCCCTTGTCACCACGAAGATGGTGTCCTTTATGCTGCCCAAGAGTTTCCTGCTGGCTAACTGAACATCGTTCATTCATTCATTCATTCATATTCAAGAAAATGTCAAAAAAATTAAAAATAATTTAAAAAATTTTTTTCTGCCCAAAATAAGTCCTATTCCTCTTGTTTCAGCTAAGCTTGTAGTTCTGTGTGTTCTTCTCAAATTACCAAATATGCCTGATACCCAATCTGCCAACTATGCTGGTCCTTTCTCTGGATAGGAGAGCCCAAAGATTTCAGTTAAAGAGACTCTATTTTCTAAGCCATATTATAGGACATTCTTAAAAAAGATTCCAGTGAAGATAGAAAAGACTGTGTATGTGTGTGTGTGTGTGTGTGTGTGAGATCTTCAATTCGAATTTGCCTCTTGGGCCACATTATGTTCCTGTGGAAATTGTGACAAAAACATTGATGTGTAAGTGGCCACTCCACAGACAGCTGAACACAGCTTAGTTGTTTTGTCTCCTGCCATGGCCTGTTGGTGGTCTCTGGGCTGCCTGTGGTTTGGCTGCAGATGCCTGACGCCTGTGTTCCCGGAGCTATCTTGCCTCTGTCTGTTGAACACTGTGTTGGTCTGTCTGTGAGGCTCCTTCCAGGATAACCCAGCTGAACTCCAGGGTTATAGTTCCTCTTTAGCATATCATTAGAGTGTCCTCTGATGAGACACTCACCCCACACTAGCTCACTAAGTTCTCCCATCCACTGCCTGATCCTGAACAGCTGAGGGGTATGGCAGTCTGCATTGTTTTCTTCA